AACGTGAGATCAAATCCCGGCTGTGGCGGCTGCACTTCGTATGGAGGTGGAAATGTTGTAGGCCCGTATGCTCAGATTTGGGCACACGTTAAAGAACCCCAGGTGGTCGAAATTTCCGGAGCCCGTCACTACGGCGTCTCTCATAATTATATGGTGGTTTTGGGACGTTAAATCCCACATATCAATCAATCGCTCGCCAAGCGTCTTCTTGTGGCAAGCGCGGTGATTTTAGTATTGCTAAAGAGTAATGTACTAATGCACTAAAAAGATCGTTTTTTTCTCTTTAGTGTTTTCAAGCGACTGCTTGCTGCAGTGATAAACGTTGTCTGAAACCTGTGTTTATGATCATTTTTTTGTCTTTGAATTGGGAACTTCATTTGATTCTTGTCTCCGCTCTGAAGCAGCCGCAGCGTTTATTTAAAACAGAATTTCGGTGCGATAGGTAAGGAGAGATTTTAAATGATAATTCACGATAGCGCCGTAGCTGCATGTCAATACCGACGCAACCATTCGTAAACCAATGTAGGGTCTTTGCTAACGCACGTATTAGCGGCTAATTTTCGTAGCGTCATTTAATATCGCATGACAAAACTTGCGTCAGCCATGTTGTGCTACCCGAGATGCTAACTTTCCGAAAGGCCATGTGCTCACCTCTTTAGTAAATCTATTTTGATAAAATTGCATAGAACTTACAAAAAAAAAAGGAAAATAGAAGCTTTCGCAAGGCTTCGTATACAAACATGCACCCACGATCTACACTATAACTTATATGTTTATATTTTGTTGAATTTCATAAACATTGCATCTTTACTCCCATAATACGTGCGTCACGTCAGGGTAACGTCAGTTGTGTACTTCAGCGTCATTCACTGAATTCTGTGTACGTTGCCAGTGCTGCAATCGTCGCAAGCACAAGTGCTGCACATCAGCTTACTGCTAATGGTGATGGTATTGCGCATGTTGTTGTTATCGTCACGCAACTGTAAAAAAAGTGGTTGTATAAAGCATATACGGCCGTTTAACATATGCCTGTGCGTACAACATGTATCGAGCAGGCCCGCCTAGTGGCCGACAGGCTTGGCCTTGTGGTCCCAACGGGAGAGTCCCCGCTGTCCGATAACGTGTACCTCTAGCCAGATCCCAATAAAGTTTTGCACCCACCCACTTACCCGCAGTCACTTTCCCCCAGCGCGCTCAAGTCGCTCGACATTTCGTTTTAGGGACGCACTGCCTCATTCTCCTTCTTCATGTAGTGCAACCTTGTACTCTGGCTGGCATTGGGGGATCCCGAAGCCTTGAACGCACACTTGCGCCTATTGCGCCTATATTGTAAGAACGCCAATCCAGGCTCATTTACCTATCGATTACATGCAGCAGAACGGAGGCTGCTTTTCCTGTATACAGCAGCCGGCACGCATGAAAGCTTGTGCTGTTGCTCGCTTCGTCCTTAAATTGTCAGCACCCGCACGCTCTTGGGTCGGGGCTTCCACAATTACAACAGAAACCCAGCTCACTTCTCAGAAAAGTGCGTGCCCTGCGTTGCTGTGAGTGAATTAAACGCGAGACGTTTGTTTTTGAACAGAAAACGAGTTCAAGCAAGCCTTGGTTTCACCAGCGCATGCAAACAGAGTGATTTGCGTTTCTCTGTTACCAGCCCTGCTGAAAGGTTCGTTAGAAATAAAGATGAAGGCAAACGAGTCAGAGAGCATGTGTCCAGTGTGGCTGTGAGCCACATACTCAAGGAACTTGACTTGACTTGACCCGACTTGTCTCCATGGCATTCCTGTTACTGATTCCGATGTGCAGCTTGAAGTTGAAAACTAGCAAAGGAACTGGGGATTGTGTACAGCGTATAGCGAACATAGGAAAGAAGATGATAGTGTAAGGTTGGTACTGAATAATAAATCAGTTTGCAGACATTATAGCTCAGATGAAAAGAAAAAAAATTCTATATACTACCTTATCATATCGTTATTTTGGATTTCATGGGATGGGAAAAAAATGTCCGAATTCATCGTATGCTGAAATATTTATGTCATCGAAAAAACAATAAACTAACGACTGTTACATCAGCATGCTTTCATTTTCTTAATGAATACATGAATGCTATACTTAAGTTGTATAATAGCAGGGTGAAAGCGGCGAGTACCGAAGCTGGTTAGCAATTCAGAATGCGATGCGCACTAGGCCCGCTTGCGATATCCATGTAAAAAAAATGAGAAGAATGCAAAGAAGCCCCGCCGCGCTGGTTTAGTGGCTAAGGTACTTGGCTGCTGACCCGCACGTCGTAGGATCAAACTCCCGCTGCAGCGGCTGCAATTCCGATGGATGCGGAAATGCTGTAGGTTTGTGCGCTGAGATTTGGATGCACGTTAAGCAACCGCAGGTGGTCTGACGTTCCGGAGCCCTCCACCACGGCGTCTCTCATAATCATAAAGTGGTTTTGGGAGGTTAAACCCCACATATTAATAAATTATTTAGATAATTACACAAATGAATAATTTATTAGGTAAATAATTATATATCACTAAATAATTAATCAAGCAAATAAAACAAATGATAAATATTTTCCGATCCCAGCCAGCTTTGAAACCAGGCTGCTTTCGTGAAAGCAAATGTTCTACCACACAGCCACGTGCTTGCTTGGCAGCACACGTAAAATAAATTCCTCTGCTCAGAAATGCAGTGAAGATAAAGTTCATGCTTCACAAACACGCGTGTCCTGTATACAGGCTTCACAATACATGTAATATCACAGCAACATTGCGTGGTACAAGTGTTCATTGACACCCACTAACATTGGGTGTCATAAATTGCGATTATCTTAACAAATTCATGGTTCAAAGCCAGCCACCCATTACAAAAGGCACAGACGTTACTGCGCGTATTCCCTAAGACCACGAAGTGGGGGCATATCAAGTTCGAAAAGATTTCACGCGAATAATGGCTCGTAATTTCAAGCATGCTACCCATTACACATAATTCTGATTTGGTTTCTGTCCGCTTCTTTTTTTACGTTGGTTGTTTTGTTACGTGTCAGTCTGAGATATGCGAAAGCTTCACTGACACAATACACTTTCAACTTTATCATTTGCATCGTAGTAATCCGTAACTTAAACTCATCGAGTAACATCGTACAACAAAATGTATGCCCCAATTGGGTGAAGTCCACATTATATAAGGGCAAGATATCGCTATTGCGTTCAACACTTGAAGGCGAAGCTTAAGGATCCCCCACTTTCTATCAACCTGATTTTCATTTACAATGCGACGTATAGATCCACGGCGTTGATGTATTGAAGTTAACGTCATGCTTTCCTATTCACTACTTCTACCTTAACGCGAAATTGGGCTGGCGCCAAGCCTACACGCGAAGGTGTAGTGCGAAAATTTCCTTGTTCGTTTGAGGAGGGAAGATCCGAGCCAAACGAGGCATTGTTTACACCTGGCGCTAAGGCTTCTTACATTCAAAGGTGCGTAAACACGACACCTCTTCAGCCGGCCGGCCCTCCCTTGGTAAGCGATTCACAATCACGCCGAGTCCTTCGGGAAACGTGCAAGAGATGAAGTGTAGCCGCACCAGAAGAGAGGAATCTTCGAGAGCTACTCACATATTGCGTCAACCAGAACCGCACGTTCTCTCTATAAACGCCCATGACCGGAAACTGGGTCAGCGCACAAAGCTAACTCCCTTTCAACACAAACCCGTACAAAACCAAATATTGAACAGTTCTAGTCGAAATAATGTAGACAGAGATAGCAAGCCCGTTTCAAGCATGCGCGCTGATCGGGATCTTCGATAAAAGCAAATGTCACCCTTCCACTTCCTTTTGGCACTAGCCTTGAAATCGAGACCACCTGGTAAACACTTCTACAAAGGAAGCCCCTGTTTCGCTGTTGCCGCATGGCTGTGCCGTCCACGGGTACTCCTCTCTATGGCACGCGCTTGACTTCTTACGCGTTCTTTCTCTTCCCTACTTCACTTACACAGTGACCTCGAAGCTGTGGACGGCCTTCTTCTTTTCTCTCAGTCCACCGGTGCGCGGACGAAACATACTCTCACCGCCTTGTTTTCTCCCAGACCCTTTGTTCTGAGCGTCAGTAATCGCGCATATAACCGACTTCAACAGCCCTCACGCGAGATGCCCGTTCCATACGCCTATGCATTGTCGTGCACGTGACTTGACACGCACGCGAAGACGGAGAACGCAATTAGATCCCTCCTCCTCCTCGATCCTTGTAGAGCACTCGAATGACTCGACGAGTGCTCGCCTTATTTTCTAGTTTATACGAGAAGCGGGCTTTCGTCGCTGCTTCGTTTAAAAGCAGCGATGCCCGAGTGGTCCGGAGATTTTACGTAAAACGTGGTATCATAAGAGCAGGTGGCTACCTGCTCTTGGCTGAGTCTTAGAGTCAAATAGCTTCGTCTTCTTGCGGACTGGTACTTCAAAATGACCCGGATAGTTTTCTAAATTCACGCCGATTGCCACTGGATTCGTTGTACTTACTCAACTCACAAGCTTTTTTCAGAAATCATCATTGTAAGCTTCATCACTATCCAGCTGGAGTGGTCCTGGAATCTATATATCAGGCCAAAAACGGACGGCACGCCCAACTGCATGCCGTTATTGTTTGCGAAGGCTGTGAACCATGCAACGGAAGTGTCGTAGGGCGACTTCTACGTGGTCATAGAATGTACGTTCCTGTTACCCCAACGGTGTTACTCTCTGCGACAAACATGCCACTGGTGCTTTTTCGATCAAGTGAAAAAGTTCTGATCAGTGTTTGTGCAAGTTGTGCACCGGACAGTTAGCTGAAAGTGGGCCTGTTTACTGCAATAGGAAACGTCGAAGGAAAAAAAAGAGAGACACAGCACAACGACTTCTGACGTTGATCTTCCAGTGTAGTTGCTATACCCTCTGCTAACCCTGTGAGGAGCAGCCAAGAAGGGCTGACTCTAGTGGTGCACCTCCTTTCCCTTCCATCTTGCTCTCCCCTCTCTCTCTCTGAAAACTGACAGTCGTCTTCGCATTGGGAAGCCCGTCACTCGAACTCTGACCATCATGGTTCGCGTGGCGGTGATCGGGGCCGGGGCGAGTGGCCTGACTGCCCTCAAGGCGTGCCTGGAAGAAGGCCTCGATGCCGTGTGCTACGAGAAGACAGAGGACCTCGGTGGTCTGTGGACGTACCGCGAGCACAACGTGGACGGCGTCGCGTCCGTCATGTTCTCCACTACGACCAACTCCAGCAAGGAGCTGTCGGCGTTCAGCGACTTTCCGCCACCGTCGCAATACCCGAACTACATGCATCACAGTCTCGTCTGTCAGTACCTGAACGACTACGCCGACACTTTCGGCCTACGCAGCTACGTACGCTGCTTGCACTCCGTGACCAAGGTGAGCGGTGCGACAGCTAGCTTTACGGGTGATTACGGTAGGAGGGATAGCTGTCATCGACGTCAAATTAGAAGGGGGCCCTCTTTAACTATAGAAAAAGCTACATGATACCCTCAGGAGGTTCGCGGGTGTATAAGAATTCTACGTGGTTTGTATAGTGAGCACGCTAATTTAGACTTTTTGAGACCGTTGGCTTTCACATTCTTCTATGTCTCCTTACATGCAGCTAATCATTTTTGCACTTCGTTCTCAATATTTAGTTGATTGTTAAACGTTTTATGACCTTGTCAAACAGTTCCTAATTTAGCTCTCTACAGGGAAGTTTTCTGTCTGAGAAAACCCTACGCGTTATTTAGTACATTATGACCACTTAACTACAGATTGCCTTAGCAACCTCGTTTTTAATACTTCAATCGTAGCACGTATGCTCTTGGAACTTCTTTCTTGCCCAAGTGAGTGCGTGATGCATTCCCGTTCTCTCCTTTCAGTCGTTTATCTCTTTCTCTAGTGCAAGGTAGCAAACCAGACGGGGGTTTAGTTGACCTCCCTGCCTCGTTCCTTTCTGTCTCTCTCGAACTTTCTTGGAGTATATTTAAACCAGTGGACTACTTACGGCTCAGCAGCAAAGTCACAACAGTAACACAGTTGCACGAGTTATATGAAGAACAACCTGTATGCAAATTAGCAAAACATTTTCCGCTCGCTATATTTAGTAAAAAAATACAGGGAAACACGCACTTAGGTGGAGTTTTTTCTTACACACCCTAGACAACACGTTTTCTTTCTCAAGCGTGCATGCGCGAGTATAGGAAATACAGCCAAGAAAGCCAGCGTGATAGCTGCAGCAGTGGTGCACGAATTCTCACTGGTACTGAAACAATACATTGTAATTTAATATAATTCTCTGTTCAGTCATTACAGTTGCTAAAAGTGTTTACTAAAATGACTATTCATTCTCGGCGCCATTCTCTTCCTGCTAGGAGAAAGTGAGTGAACAGGCAGGTTATGGTACCACATATGGGACCCACAGCTGCTTCACAAGCGGAACATAGATGAAATAGGTCAACATACGCGTTCTAAGTTGAAAGAAAGAAAGAAAGACCCACAGTGCGCGCACTAGTTGTTTTCATTGCCTCACACGACTTTTTTTATTACTATTTCCGCATAGTTTTTGAGCCAACGCCTTCCCGATTAATTCATAATCTGAGCGCACGCGTATGCATGAGGCCTCTAGTATAATTGCACGCGCGATTTAACTCCGTAACACGAGCTTGATGATGAATGTCCTTTTGACGGTTGGAATAACTTGTACTTCCTTAATTGACCACGACGACCTGAATACCTCATGTTATGTTCATTACGTTGTTGAAGGCTGAAGACGTGGTCATACAGTAACCCTGTGAATATAGCTGTTCAAATGGGCCACGTCATTTAGCATAGATTGCAGGGGTCAGATTACAGGTGCATGTGGTACCTCAGCCAAATGAGAATTTCTTGGTGTCTATTACTGGCGGAACAAAGGAACGAATTAGCACTATTTGACTGCGCTGTGCATGCAGTCCTCTAGGGAATGTGCAGCATGTGGTTCAAGTCAAAGAATAGGCGGGGTGTGTTGAACAGAGCAGTTTGGCTCATCGTAACTCAGTATTACTTCGCGATTGAGGGATAGTCACGCCTTTCTAATTTGGTTTCTGTCCACCTCTTCTTTTTTATATTGCTTGTTTTGTTACGTGTCAGTTTGAGATGTGCAAATAAGACAGATGGTAAGAGAAGATGCACACTAAAAGTGACGAGAAATCGTAGAATAGTGAATATCGCTGGAGCCAGTGACGTTTCATGTTTCATTTTTCATGAAACTGAATAGGTAGGAATTTTCGGCAATTCACGTCTTTTACTGCCAACCAATTTTTGAAGTTTTATCGAATATGCGGCATGCACTGAATAAATGCGCAGCTTTAGTGACTTCTCGCGGTTCTAAAAATCTCTTCTTACCAAACATAGTCTGGAGTTAGCTTTAAGTTTTAACGCGTTGTCATCGCCACCTTCCTTAACAGCGGAGCGCTACAGAATAAGTAGCTGCACTTCTCTAGTACTGTCATGCTTGGTCACTGCATTAATGAATAAAATCGAGAGTTATGACAGCACTTAATACTCATCTTCTTTTGTGTGACTTTGTTAGGGAACCATCTATTGCAGAAACGAGTTCGGATAACTGGCTCTTAGCGACATGGCAAACTATATAAACCCATTCCGTCCTGAAAGTTATGCGTAAGTCTTTTCGCCCGTGTAAGCAGTCCTTGGTCGTAGAATGTCGTCTAACTCCAGGTGCACGGCCAAGCGAGCACAGATATTTACGCTAATATGGCAACATATGTCACACGAGAAACTTGTGATTTTTTACTTTGTTAAGAATTTGCAAAAAAAGATCAAAGTAACAAAGTTAGAGTACTAAGCAACTCGAACTCCACAGTCACAGTACTCGTGTGGTTAAATGACGACATAAGGGACATTATAAGTCCTCCTTTACGTCTGAATGAATCGCGCTGAACTTCTCGGCCAAACATATTCTGCTTACACATACATACATACATACACACATACATACATACATACATACATACATACATACATACATACATACATACATACATACATACATACATACATACATACATACATACATACATACATACATACATACATACATACATACATACATACGTAGATGCGTGTATAAGCACGCTCACTTTTTTGTCGTCTTTGTCATTTCGTGTTGCTTCATTACGCTGCCAGACTGTACCTGCAATAAAACCCGTCATTTTGTGAGGCCCATATTGACATTCGCCTCGCCAAGTCGCACGCTGCATTCTCAAATCGCCAGCCAGCAGCGCCAAGTTCTCGTTTCTCTACAGCGAGCGGCGGCGGAGGCGGCGGTGTCGTCCTTGAGCGGACGGCGCGACTTCCGCCCATGCAACGCTATGGTTTTCCTGCATGCTCAAAAGACAATGACCTCCTTGCGACGGGCGCTACGAGTATCGCCGCTGCGTCATGCGTTTTTCCCGCTTTTGCAGATTTATTTCGTTATACATTACCCTACCATGTATAAAATTGCTTCTCTCATCTCCTCCTACTCATTCTACGCCGCGCGCTGTGTCTACCTCTCTCTGTCACTCCGAAGATAAAGGTTTAGCAGTGCGCAGTCAGAGAACAGATAAAGACGCATGCGAAGCGTAAACAATTGTTACTTTCATGGCATGTTTAGAGAAAGAGTGGCGAGGAAGACCTTTAAAAAGTTGTGCGTGACATTCGATTCGATCTCAATAAAACATGTGCAGAGTGTAACGTTAGCGCAATAGAAACACTACATAATTCGCATAAGAACTGTGATTTATGTGCCCTTCGACAAAAATAAAGGGTTTAAACACAAGGCAGGGGAGACGCGTGCCAGGTATGCTACCCTGTGCACGTAAAAGGGGGGAGGGGATGGTTAGTGTTTCCGTACGTTGGTTAAATAATGTAATTCTGAATAATTATTCCCAGGAACTCAGAATTGAGTTTCGCAGTGTAGAATTTCTGCCAGATTTTTTAAAGTGAATGTTTTATTAGATACATGACCCAGTGACGGCGTCCTTGGCGGAATACGCGGAACAGGCCAGCGCGTATACACAAAATGCGACACTACGGTGTGCTGACCACACACGTATTTGCATGCGCAGTTTTTCAATTAATAATGACCTCTAAATCGTGAGAGACCATCTTGTGTTTGCTGTATGAAAATTCGATCTTTTGATGGAGCAGTGCACAGAAGGATACAAAACACTCACACATAAAGGAGCCGAACGCAAGCGCTGTACTAGAATTGATGATTTATTTTCTGATGACCCAGCTTACGTACGAGAACACGCACATGAACACTGACAGCAATGACAATGACGGGTACAACAAAAATAATATTAACTAGTAATAGAAGCAACTAAAAACACGTGGTGCTGATAATAAGTTCCAAAAAGAAGCACTTTGTGGTTATATACTAAGGTGCAGGCGAGCTTTCTTGGAGAAGGATACCGAGGGGCAACTGAACAGAGACACTTATTACTCCACTTGTCTGTTTCAATTGCTTCGATTATTTTTCACGTTTACATATTAAGGAATGACAATTAGATCTTTCGTCGAGGCTCCTTGTCATTTCACGCCACCACGTTGCATTGTTGCCTGGATGTTGCCTGGATGTAGCCTGGGCAGGAATGGATGGCGTCGCTGTTTCCCGTCGCAATTGAAGTGTCGAGTTGCTAAGCGCGAGAATGGAGATCCTATTCGCATCGTAGAGAAATTAAGCTGTATGGAGGGTGCACTGCACAATGCGAAAGAAAGAACCGAATAAAAAAAAAGAGAAAGAGAGAAAAGAAAGAATAAAGATGAATTACATTAGGCAGACTTAAATTTCCTACTTGTGTGAGTATTTTTAGTGCTGCAGCAACAATTTAACATAAAAAGTGTCTTTTTAATAATGCTAATGTCTCTTCAAGATAACGACTTTACTGGCTGATCTAAACGGGTGAAAAGCAGTTATCGCACTCTTTCCGTTTTACGCGTTGTTTTTCTTTTGTGGTTATTGGTATTCAGTGTTGAAAAAGGAACTTATATTGTAATCAATTGATGGCCGGTCCCCCTGCGTGGGTATGAAGCATGTTTGAGGCGTTGTCATCATTATCATCAGCACACGCCAAGCTTAGCTTGCCCTCGTTTCCTTGTGGCTCGAAGGCTCGTGTTATTTTCTTTCTTTTTAGAAACATCTCTATTGTTGCCTACTTATGAGCCGCAACAGTAGCACGCCATTCGGTGACAAATTGTCCGTCACGCACAACACAATGAGCATAGCAACGTTTTTGTGGCCGCTCCCAAGCGAATTCCATTCACCTCATTTTTACGTCGAACGTTGATTGTATCCGACGTGTTTTGACCGGCCGTGCCAATGTGCGTGATTAATTCTTTTTTTTTTGCGCATTCGTCATCGTAGTTACAAAAACAATGAAGCCCAAGAACTTGAGAGTGCGTAGATTTAGATCTCCATGTACAGAGCCAAGTTGGGATTTCAAAGATGCATGCACATCGCTGGTAATCATAATCTCTGTCTGGCGCAACGCTTCCTGCTTTGTAGCATATATTGTTTTAGCCTTGGAAACGAAGGGGATGGGCTGGAGGTGGCCCTTACGACAACGATGAGCAGGTGAAGAACTTAATGGATTTACGTAAGCCACCGCCATTAGGAGTTTTGCGCAAGGACGCTCACGACGGTGCTCGGACATTGTTTCGTCGCCGCTTTGCTTTTCAAATTTCCGTGCGTAGCGGTGGCTGTCTGATAATATTTAGTGTACGTATTATCTTCCCTCTGCATATAGAGACGCAAGTAAATTATCCGCGATTAGGTTATATAAGTCAAGTAGGATTAATACGCGCAAAAAGAACGTTACGTCGAAAGAAATCCTTTCTCCGTATCTGTTAAATGTGTGGGTGTACAATAGAGGTTGCAGGTTCGACTGTGGTCGCGGCGGTCGCATTTCAATGAAGGCGAAATTTTGGGAGTCCGTGTGCGGTGGCTGGTCCGTTCACGCTTATGAACACACTATAGATGGCTCACATTCACGCAGTGCTCGTTTAACACCACCGTATGGTCCACTACGGCAGGCGTCATAACCGTATCGTGGTATTGGCGCGTAACATTTGTGGATTATTATTCAAATAGATTGGCACAATGCATGACACCCGCTATGCCGTCTCTCTCTGACTAACAATGCATTTTAGAGGCAACCTGGTTTCAAGCAAACAAGTCAGCGACAGCGACACAGTACGTTCGCAGCAAACGTTATAAATAACATGCACGGAAAGAACGAGAAAAAAGAGTGTTTAGCCTGGATCTCCAGCGTTTCAATAGGTGGACCTACCATTTTCATAGACGTGTACTTGGACGTACTTTGGAAGAACTGACTGTTCCACCAGTTAGTCTTGCAATCTTTCTGTGCCAAATAGGCCGAATGTACATGTCAGACACAAACACAAAACAAAGAAATAGGTCTTTAACTCTTTGCTGGCCTCGAAAAAGCTAGCCGCCCACCGCCACTTATTTATTAATCGGATTTAATGAATGGTGTTTCTGTGACTTGCGCAACGCTGAAGTACTGTAAAGCGCCTTAGCTACAATTGAACCTAATTGCCTAACTTCAAACAACTTCTCACCGCCTTTTATAATCGTAGTACCCGCATAACAACGCGATGCTTTTGAGGGGGTGATGTGTTTGCGCTACAAATATTACGTAATGCTTTCTATAGCGGCGGGAGTGAATGCAAGTGCTCGTCTCAGTCTATTAAGTGCCTGTCTGTGCAAATCGTCTTGTGTTAAGTTATACTAGATATTTTTTTGGTCGTTTGTTATTCCTAGCCGCTCGGTGTTGCTCGTGCGATGAATACTTAGAAAATACATTGACAATATCGTTCAAAGCGCGCAGCCAAGTAAACGACAGCTGCAGTGATGAGCGTGTTGAAATGTTGCAATGGGTTAAGGAGCTCTAGCAGCGTAAGAACTAGACATTGACATAAGAAAACAGGATTAAGCGCTTTGTGAATGTACTTGCCATCTGCACTGTCAGAGCAACGTACGCGCGGTCAAATAAAATGGCATACTGATACTCACTTCACACTGCATGCTTCTTCTAAAAGGACCTGGATCCTTCCCTGGTTGGCAGCAGGTTTAGCTTGTGCTCGACGAACCCAGACGTAGGGATCGTATCGGAAAAACGGAGATTCTTACTTCGTTCTTAGCATTCTCGTTTTTGTGAATGAAATACTATCGAACGACTTGGTGGTATTCCACCACGTCGTCTGATATATAGTACTTCAGAGGAGCGCCTTCAGATGCCGTGAACGGTATAAACTATCATTTGGAATAACGTACTTAAGTGTAGTTTCGTACTACGGAAAGAGAAGTGGAGCTATAGATTGGGATATACCTTTCAAAGCCTTCAAGTGTAAAGTGCGGAGAGTTTATATGTTCTTTTTTTCCTCTAAATGAACAGTCGCGAATCAGCGCTTGTGATAAACCTGACAGAAACATAGTGCTGCATCTTGTGCACGCTGTGATTCGGACCTGAAGTGGATAATAAAAACAGATGTTGGCTGCGAAAATTGTGTTTTCAAGAACTTCGTAAATAAAGACGCTTTTCTCATGGCGCAGGTAAATCCCACGTCTGATCACGATGAGACGGGACGGTGGGAGTTGCTGGTGCACGACATCGAGCAAGACACTGATCTTGTGGAAACCTTCGACGCCGTCATGGTTTGCACTGGCTACGACCACACTCCCGTCAAGACCGAGTTTCCCGGCCTGAAGGATCGGTTTCGAGGTCGCGTGATGCACGTGAGGGAATACAAGCGGCCCGTCGGATTCGTCGGTGCTAAAGTCTTGGTCGTTGGACTTGGGAACTCTGGCTGTGACGTGGCTGTTGAGCTAAGTGCTATCGCAGACTCTGTGAGTGCCTCAAGTTTATTATTGTGAATTTCATCGTGTCAGACCGAGTGATCGCATAATTTTGACTCAAGGTCTGGTCGACTGATGACTTGCATTTCACAGATTGCGTGTGCATGGACTCAAACAATTCTTGAGCTTTCACATATCGATGCGCATACAATGAGACACCTCACTGAAGTCTCACCAGAAAAAAAAAGTTCAGTGTTTGGCTATTGTAATGCAATACTTGGAGCTGTGAGCTGTGGTGGTGAGAGCGACGGTGAGTACGAAAGCACTCGTGATGCGTGTTACTGCACCCGACAAAGAGCTGTTCAATCGGTAGTGCTAGGTGGCGCCAGCGGAGCGTTGCGATCTTTTGTAGCACAGTTCATCCACTTCGCGCGGTGCAGCACGTAAGCGTGGTGTTCTGAAATCATGGCAAGCAGCGCTCCATTTGGGCCCCTAAAAAACACTTACCAAGCGGCCTTAAGCCGGATGCAGTTACCATGTGTTGTGGGCTTTCTCGCCAACACCGCCATCCTTACCGACAGCAGCAGACGCTCGGAGTACTGCGTTTCGATCGCCGAGCACTGTACAAGGATGGAAACCATTGTTGTTACTATGTGTTGATGGGAGTTTATTTTATTGCGGCAGGTGTACGTGAGCACTAGGCGTGGCTGCTGGACCATCCCCCGTGTCGCATCACGAGGTGAGCCTTTCGACACTGCCAACGTGAGGCGCTCTTGGAACTGGCTCTTCCACCTGCTGCCGTACTCGATTGTGTGCAGCGTGGGCGAACACGAAGCCAACCAGCGCTTTGACCACACCCTCTACAACCTAGCAGCGCAACACCGCATTCATGGGCAGCACGCCACCATAAGTGACGCGCTCCCTTCCAAGATTCTGAGCGGAACGGTTGTGGTCAAAGGTGACGTGCGGTGCTTCACTGAAGACGGAGTCTTCTTCGAGGACGACCACAAGGTCGCCACCGTTGTCGACGTGGTCATTCTTGCCACCGGATACACGGCACACTTCCCTTTCATCGACGACTCCGTGCTTCCTGTCCGCGACAATCGTGTGCGCCTTTACAAGTATGTCTTCCCGTCATTTATGGAAAAAGGAACACTTGCTTTCATTGGAGCCGTACAACCCGAGGGTAGCCTATTCCCCATTTCAGAAATGCAAAGCAGGTGGGTGGCGGGAGTGTTCGCGGGACGCTATGTCCTTCCAGCTGTCCGAGTTATGGAAGAAGACGTGGACCAGCGGGAACTGCGCGTGCGTGAGCGTTACATTCCAGGTAGCAGGCACGCCCGGCAAGTTGACTGGATAGAGTACATGGACGAAATGGCCGAGCTCGTGGGCTGCAAGCCTCGGCTGGGCCGACTTCTTCTGACTGACCCAGTTTTGGCGTGGGCCTGCGTGTTCGGACCATGCCTGCCCTACCAATACCGCTTGCATGGTCCTGGGTCATGGCCCCGCGCGAGGCAGCAGATACTGGATTTTTGGGAGAACTACAGGCTGGGCCTCGAGACGAGGAAGTTGCCATGGTTGAAGCCAAAACCGTGGGGCGCATTGGAAACAAAGACGACGGTGGTTGATCTAAAGGTTGCTGTCATGGCATTATCTTTTCTGGCAGCTGGACTCAGAGTGAAGGCACTGCGACTGCTTTTGCTTAGATGCATGGCACTTTTTATACAACTTGCTTGGTCTCTAAGCGACACTGTGCAGACACAAAAGATGCATTTACTGAAGCCCGATGTGAAAAGTTATTTCAGTGTTTTCTCACGCATGACGATATGATAGCGGGACTCGTGTATTGTCTCATTGGTCGTAGGAATTGATTAATAAGCTGTGTAAAAGAAGGAAGAAATCAAGCGATGATGCTTGACGTCTGCTTCGGGGGGAGAAACAGAAATTTCAATCACGTGGTACCGTCATCAGTGAATGCATTTCTTGGGGTTAGCACGTGGACTCCAAAAAACTGAATCACTTGACAGTGCGATGGTCACCGTCCTATTTTTATCAGACCTTTACTAATATACATTGTTCCTGTAGACATTAAAAACCATTCATCTTGATGGTTTTCTTTTCCTCAAGTAAAACGTCTGACAACCAAATATATGTAAGTGCTGTATTTGGTTTTCTTTCCTTTTTTGCAAGGAATCCTTGAAGTATGATCACTGTTTACCAATTGGCTTAAACACACGAGAGGTGAACAGCGATGTTTTTTCGCTGACCTTGAAAGCTGTTTTGAACTTGTTCGATGTCTTATTGAAAGCGCTGCCACCATATTGCGCTGAACGGTAAGTGAACTGGTGTTTCGAAATTGTGTTAGTGCGGATAAATATAAAAACGTAAGAGATAAAATGCGAGAAAAAAGAAAAAGAGACTGCAAATGCAATTCCGCTGCACTGACAGTCAGATACTACGGCATATCAAGAACAGCGTTCATATAAACCTCGGATACCAGGCTTTTCGCTATATCACACCTATATATTTCAAATGGATGACGCATTCTGAATCTGATTGTTCGCACAATGTTTCGTCCATAGTTACGACATAGTTTGATGCTGTTGTCCTTGTTGGCGTTCATGCCCCCATGGTAAGCAGATGAAACCTTGATTTCAATCACCGTTCAAAACACAGTTTCAAACTTTGAAACTGTGTTTTCAACGGTGATTGAAAATGTCGCTTTTGAATTGTCCACAACATTGGCTTTAATAGGCACGCTTCCGCTGCAAAGCCAACAGGGATCACGAAACGCATCTGTCATTGCTTGATTGATTGATTTGTGGGATTTAACGTCCCAAAACCACCATATGATTATGAGAGACACCGTAGTGGAGGGCTCCGGAAATTTCGACCACCTGGGGTTCTTTAACGTGCACCCAAATCTGAGCACATGGGCCTACAACAATTCCGCCTCCATCGGAAATGCAGCCGCCGCAGCCGGGATTCGATCCCGTGACCTGCGGGTCAGCAGCCGAGTACCTTAGCCACTAGACCACCGCGGCGGGGCACAGTCGTGGTTATGAAATTGTCTTTCAAGAAGAGTTCTCTGAATAGGCCTAATGTAAAAAAGTTGAACTTAGGTGAAGAATGCAATTGTAAAGCAATCCGTGGTGGAGCCATAAATTTTGTTCGGAGGATTTGGAACCACCTTTTTTCTTTCTTACGCGTCTGTGCGTGACTGCGTGTGTTTGTATGTCTTTGTACACATGCACATACAAATTAATGAAAAAAAAACGTTCTGTGGAGGAGATAAAAGTAGACCCCTCTTACCCCACCTCCAAATCTCTCCAATGCAATCAAGGTGGCTTTAAACATTGACATTAGAAAACTTTTTCGTCGTATGCGTTGAATTAGAGTGTACTTGCGAGCCACGAGAAACGGGCAAGTGCCACCTTAGGCACTTTCAACGAGCTCGTTTGCCAGAAATTGCAGCGTTGGTTGCGAGCGAACAATTATATTCTTGTGAGTGGCCGGAAAATCGAGAAAGATGCAAATAAAATAAATAATCAATATTTACTGGTCTGTGTAATTATAGAACCCATACAGTTTGTGTGGGAAGCAGGTGTTCTACCCCGCGGCCATGCGTCAGCTAGAAATTAAGCTAAAATAACTTTCTCTGCTTAGATAAGCAGTGAAAATGACGCTCATTCTTTACAAACACATGCGTCCTGTATACAGGCTTCACAATAGCACATGTATTATTGCAGTAACATTGCGTGATTCAATCGTACATAGCTACGGGCGTCAAATCATGTGATTATCGTACCGACATAATGGTTTAAAGCCGGCCACTCATTGCAGAAGGCACACACGTTACTGCGTCTGTTCCCCTAAGACCACGTTATGGATGCGTAGGACATTCCAGAAGGTTTCATGCATATAACTACTCATGGTTTAAAGCACGCTGCCTATTACATAGCATATGAGAAAACTTCACTGACACAAGCTACTTTTAACTTTATTGCATTGTAGTAGTTAACAATTTAAACTAATCGAGTAACATCACACTACAAAAAAGTATGCACTAAAAGGTTGTAGTATGTACTAGGGACAAAATATCACTATCTCGTTCATCGCTTAAAGGCCAAGCTTAAGCTGCCCTCAGTTTTTTAAAGGCGAAGCTCCTTAGGCCGTGGGTCGTTCTCTCCTCCGTATGTAGACTCCTCTAGTTTATGACTTCCTTGATAGTTGGCGTTGTGTGCATATGTCATTGAGAATAATATAACTAGATGGCGTTAGTAGTTTTCACAGCCTATCCACGAAGTGAATAATGATAATTGGGGTGAAGCATCCACCCGTCCATCTGTGTATCCAACTGTTCGCGCGTCCGTCTATTCGTCCGTGCTTTTATCCATCCGTGCTTCGGTCCGTCGGTCCGTCCGTCCACGCGTTCCTCCCTCTGTCCATCCATGCATTCGGACGCACGGACGGATGGACCCACGGACAGAGGCACGGATGGACAGAAGCACGGACCACCTGACGGACGCATGCACGGAAGCACAAACGGATGGACCGACTGAAGCACGAAAGGATGGACAGACGAACGCACATATTGAAGGACAGCAACACGGATGCACGGTTGGATGGACGTTTCGCTCCACTCACCGTCATTCACTCTGTGGATATGCTGCGATTTTTTCAAGGGGCGATGCTTCTTAGGGGCTAGCCTTCTCTGGCGATGTACCGGCGTCCACAGTAGTATCAGAACACCTGATACACAGCTGTAAAAAACCACCTGTGCCGTTGGCCCGTCCATCCGTCCGTCCGTGCGTGCGTACGTCTGTTACACTAGTCAGTGACTTCGGCGTAGACATTATAGACCTTATGACTTATCTTCGCCCACTCGTCAATATTCACTCCGTGTAGATGATAATGATGATTGAAGCTTTATTTTGGTCTAGAGAAGACGCAGGGGAGACATATACACGCACCTACACGAAATGTAAGGACAGGTAGGCAACGCTCTTACACTTCGTGTAGATGTGTGGATATTACTTTTTTTTCATGATTGCAGTTGCAGAAGTTGCATTACTGGAAACAACACATGGGGATACCTTTGAACTTCGTTTTCGTCACAGCTGGCTTAATTAACGAGTCGATTAGGTTGATACCCTGACAACACACATACCGTCAATGACATCCGCAGAGAGAAAGGAAAGCGATGGAAGATGCAACACTTGTTTCATCGTATACGTTTCGTTTGGTTCAGTCCATAATGTTTCACGAGACGGAAGGGGTATATACCCTCCCGCTCCCCTCGCTCTTTCGTATGCAGCACTTTACGGGTGCAAAAAATTAAGGAAGCACGCCTACAGTGAATGAAAGTGTGAATCATCACTGTACGACACGATAATTTTATTGGGTTAAGCAGCTGTTATGACACACATTCATATACAGAGGACATTAAACAGGTCATGCATTCTTTTTTAAAATGAGCTGGGCTGTTATGCGTCTGGCTATTATTAACCGGGAGCTGTGCTACAAATATAAAAAAACACTTATTTAGAAACTCTTGCAAACAGGCGAGGCATTCTTTTTTCGTATAGCACGCTCACTGCGAAAAGAAAAGATGCTGGCAATGTTTCTTCTAAACAAGGTGATGCGGTTTTACTAAACAATATTTTAGGGTGCTATTCGGCACTCGTATAAGATACACTCAAACATAGAGTGCCATCAGAGAGTAAGCTCTGCTTAAGTTCTTGGACCGCACTTTAGCCCGCCAACGCTTGCTTTGTGTTTTTGATATACAATGAAATATTGTCACGTATGCCCAGATTGGGCTGCCTTTAATAGGGAAAATGCTAAATATTCGTTATGTCGACGTACATTTATTCTACAGAAAGGCCACCACTTTTGATTGTCGTCAATATGATCTCCATAAAATACAAGCTCGCTAACGGACTGCACACGCGCTATCCGCATAGCCATATCGTACGTGCCTGGACACCTGCCGCACGCTAGCAGAGGGCGAAAGAGTGTCGCCGATATGGTCTTTCACCCACCGCTTGCGTGCGGCAGTTGTCCAGGCACGTATGGTATGGAAGTGTGGATAGCGCGCGCACAGACCCCGAGGTAGCGATAAGTGAAACAAAAGCAAAACAGTCTTCAAAGAAGATGCGAACTTTGTTAGCTATGTTGGTGAAGGTGGTGCTAATATGCACTACGGAGTATCATGGGCTTGTGAATATGCAATGTGAAGTGGTCACTGAAACTACTTCTACACCACTTGGGTCACTGATGACACCACGACGTCTTGCACCAGCCACTGTGTTCTCTGCAAAAGTCCATGACGTCCTTGCATGATTGACACATCGACCAGTTCGCTTTGGCACCCTCGTTTTGAAGAATTTACAGAATTCAAACGCTGTTCAGCGTACGTTTGTCCATTATGCCTACCAGGATGTTATTGGTAAACATTAAATACAGCGCAGGGCTTGAAATTGTCCGTTTGCGTTTCGACGCATCGCAGAATCCGAAGAGGTCGAACCATCACATTGAGTCACGTGGAACTTGAGCAACAGCCGAGGGACCTTTCCTGAAGAGTTCTCCAGACGCGGAAATCGGTGCCGAGAGCCCGCCAGCTTCGTCGCAATACAAAGAACAGGCCAAGCCCGAAATAAAATCGACACGCACCTGAGATGGCATGAGTTCTCAATGACGTCACTGAAAAGTAATTTAAATCGCTAATAGTTGATGTAGCGGATCAGCGCGTTGAGATTTGTCTTCTGCGACCGATATTTCTTGCTAATCTTTGCCGCCGATGGGAACGTAGACGGTTTAGTCTGCGTGTGCCAGACGAGAACCTGGAAAGGAAATAAAAAACTCAGGGTGGTTACATACTAAAACTGCGCTAAAGGACGGAATGTGAAGCAAGAAAAAAATTTGAGGTGGCCCTAATCCTTCACTCGTGTTACTGCTAGCGGCTCTCGCACGTCGCCGTTCATGTGCCCTGGTGTGTTCCTGGGTTAACTGTGTGTTTCTCGTCGCGCTGCCGATAAGGATCTCGGAGGCCACGTATAAAAAAGCATGCGGTTGAGATCTGTGCTGCCAAGTGCAGCTGCTTAGAAAAAAACAGCCCGGTCTTCGAATGAGCTCACTCAGTGAAATCGCATTTATTGTCGAGACACATAATTGGTCTTTACCTCAAGTAAGTCTATGCTCAAGTATACTATCTGTTCAATATAGCTTTTCCCTTGATGAAGAACCACAAATTTTTGCGCACCAGTTTTTCTTTTATAAGACTGTTTCTGAATGTTCGGGGAACCAGAAGTGCTCGGTCAGATATGCTTGCAGGATAAATAGAAGTGCCGCTCCGTGCTCGTGCCACTAAAAAAAGAATAGGGCACGGACACAGAGCGGCACTACTATTTATCCTGCAAGCACATCTGATCGAGCATTTCAGGTTCTACGGATATTAGAAAAAATACGTTGTTTTTTTTTGTGTTTTCGAATACAAAGCCATACTTACCGTACAATATTTAAATACCACTGCGGTTAGTTCGAGACTTGTGCAAATTCAAGGTAGAGCACTCTTGAAAATCTTAAGCTGGCAAGGCTATTGCACACAGTGAAATAAAATAAGATACAGCTATTAAATAGTTCCATTCGTCAGAAGTACATTGTACATAGCTATCACGTGATATGCTCGCAACTACAAAGCGAATAACGGTGTTATAACTCCACCATAACGAGAGCTTCTACTACAAAACAGCGTACACAACGAAGCATCCCAACATGACTTGGACGGATTCCTACCATTCTCACGTAATGCTAAGGGCATTGCAGCGTAGACCACTAAGCGAGTTTGCCTGTTAACGAAACTAAGTCATGAGCTCCCGGTCATTGAACTGTTCTGTTTTACAACAAATACGCTTAGCTGCACACGTAACGTGCAGGAACCAAATGAAACGTATGAGTAGGGCGGCGAAGTCATATCACGAGAGCTTTCAAAGAACTACGAAAAGAAAAGGCGATCTTGAAGTGGGCTCTTGACTGCCCTGGCCAAGCCGGTTCGGCAGGCAAGCGAGTTGGCGCAAGGCAAGGTGCCTGTGAGTTTGAGCTTTCGGGCTATTATAGCCTTCGGGGGATGGCAGCTAGCTACGAAACACGGTGTTATGACTGTAACCACGAAGCGATATCTGACGCACTGCAGCAGGGGCGGCGCCAGAGGGGGGCAAGGGTGGGCTGGAGCCCCCCCAAAATTCTCGCCTGCCCCCCCTATGCCCACCCAAGTGCCCGGAAGCATATATTGAAAACCTAGTAGGAGCAGAGCTAGCTTGCCCCCCCCCCCCCCCCCCCCCCGGAGGAACTCACTTTTCGTGGTTGCCCTCCCAGTAAAAACATCCTGGCGCCGCCCCTGCACTGCAGATCTGTCTCTCCTCACTCCCTGACTTCGGACCGCAGCACAACGTGAACCTCGACGGCCTCAGCCACGTGGTAGTTGAGCATACTGTAAGCCACAATACTGTGCATAGGAAAAATCTATATTTCATTGCCAAGGGCCGTTTGAGTGTGTGGTGAATGAAAATTTTTATTTATAAGAATGTTCATGAGCTTTACTGGGGTTGTTACAAAGTGCACGATGCATATAAGAAAGTTATCTGCATAACGAAAAATCAATGCAAGCCCACACGTTTTGTTATAGAGGCGTTTCACCGCAATATGCTTCCTTCATTCGCTGTTCCGCGCATACCTATGCGAGAGCTATGATTGCCGCAAAGAGTTAGCCTGTTCAGATGTTAATAGGTCTTGAAACATTACTTGAGGACCATTTCTTTCTTTTTCTTTTTTTACTTTTAATATTTCACCATAGAGAACATGGTAAACAAATAAAAAAGAAAACACAAGGGTTCCAAGGGCAAGCGCTGTTTTAGGAGATACCAGTGTTTTCTCAGCCAGAGTACAACAATGAATGCATTTTAATTCACACAAATCTGTTTTGCTCCAACATTAGACATTTCTTTCTAAGCTTCCCGAGTACGGAATCTCTGTGCAACCTGGTTTCCTCTCGTAAGTAAATCTAATTTTCTATCCCTGCCGACATTTATCCTAATTTCCACCTTGCAATCTTGTTCTTATTCATTTTGAGGGAGTGGGTGGAATAATTGAATCATACTTTCATAACTTCCGGCCCGGAACGTACTGTTTCCAAGGTCTTCTTTAATTTTTGCGCATTTTACCTTGGTTGCCGTCCTTGTTTTATTCCACTATGTATGTCTCTGATTAGACGTGACTCCGTTGGGCTGTTGACTAAATACTTACGTGCTTTCTGCAGTGCCTCTTCCGTCTTATATAATCTCTTTACTTGACTCATCTCGCACCAATCTTAGTATTTCTATGTCTGTAAATTTGACAATATACATATATACTACTTATTCACACAATTTGGTATAAATTTATAAATCTGACACAGTTTCGTTTGCTCGAAACGGGTATGAATCATGGTCTTGTTTGAGTATTTTGTAGTTGTAGTTGTAGTGTAATAATTATGATATGATGGGAATGTAATTATTGTAGACGGAAAAAACAAATTGTCGACAGTAGTGAGTGAAGGTAACATTCGCAGCGTGCTCTGCCAAATGAGCCACGGTGGCACTCGTGTACCCTTCCGACTTTTTAAAGTATTACTGTGCGCGTAATCCTGAGTATAACAATTTTTGTGCCAGATGGCGACACCTAGCGCGTTACCTTCATGCGAGCTGGCAGCTGACGAATAAATTTTGCAATATGCTGCCTAAAGGCATGTGAGGGTATATTGATCAGCTTCCAGGAGGTCTCAATATGTGACTCTAACAAAGACACGAGCCCTTAATCTCTTCCCTAAACTGTCGTTCATCAAGAAGAACCTTTAGGAAGAAGAAAGCCGTAGCGCCAGTTTTATAAACTGACTGGGAGAGCATTTCATACCTTTGTGGCATTCTCGCACAGTGGCTCGAGGTCTGAAATCGATATGTTCAGGCTTTCGAGGAATTCGGTTTCCTGGCGCCCTTCCTTGTGGGGCATGTAGATGTGCGTGTTGTTGATCAGAAGACGCAGGTTGACGGCGAAGCCGGCCATGTCGACGGCGAAGCGTCGCTTGTGGAGGTACGGGTCGTGAAAGCCCACCACGCTGCCGTCCACCACCACGGGACTGCTGAATCCGGTGATCCTCATGGATCCCACCGGGAACACGCTCACAACCTGTGTCCACCGGATCTAGATCAACGAGGAGAAATGCGTTATTCGCTAAAGTATTATCCATGGGTCGTCGCTGCACACAATGCAATTTTTTTCTGTTCTGCGTGCCACATATGTTACGCTGTAAAATGAAATGATTGCGCCCTCATGTTTTATCTTGTGCATGGACGTCAATGTAAATCACAGTGCTTTACGGGTGAATCAGTATGCACATATAAATGGACAGGCACACGGAGGTCGGCGAAAAAAAAATTGGTACTCACTCCCACTCAGTCACAGAATATATTTCGCTTTGAGGGCTTACTTGAACTGGGACACAGCAAAATTTTCGTCAACCGAACTCAATCGGATTAGGGATCACTAAACTTTTAACTAAGCACACTCACTTGGACTCAAACTCAACCGAGCATCACTGAGCCAAACGCACTCATGCTCAGTCTGACAGCTTGCACTGAGTCTGAGTGAGTCGAATGATGGTGAGTTCGTTAACCTAAACTTACCCTTCTAAACCATGATTTCAATAGTGTTTAACGCCAATATCGCATATATTTGATGGGTGTCTACAATGGCCAATATTGTACCTTTATATACGGGTTATCAATAGTTTAAACCCAGCTAGGACAATTTTATGAAATAGGCAACTCACACGAGATGTTTTCCTCAAGAACTTCCCGAAATAGAGTTTGCAGGGAGACGTCGAGACCTCCTTCCCGTCCCTCCGCTAACTCATGCCTTTGACCAACAAATACTGAGGTGGCGCATGAACGCTACTTCATTGAGATATGCGCGGATAGGCTTGAGTGTAAAGGTAAGCCGACATAAGTCTGGTATTAATTCTGAAGATGAGTAGATAGGAGTAATTTAACTGAACTTATGCAAACAGCCGCTTATAGGTGCACTACTTTCACTCCTTGAAACAATTTCATAGCTGTGTTAAGTATTATGATTTGGTAAACAAAGAGGTAGTTGCATACGCCCGTTGAGCTCAAGAACTACGGAGAGGGCTGATGTTAATATAAATATATATGCAGAAATTCATTTAGTACGCGACGATTTTGTAAACACGGTTCATGCGCAGGATAAAAAGAATAAAGGAAGTTTCGTACATGATTATATAAATCCATCTACGTTGAGCGGTCAGAAGTGTTTTAACGAGACACGCTTATGGCATATTCAGCTGGTTTTTTCAGAAAGCTCTGGAGGCTCCATGTAATTGACGCGAAAGAGCAATTTACAACTATAATAAAGAGGCCAGTACACAACAAAGAAGAATGAACATCATTTGCAAGCTTACTTTTTCTTGTCGTAGACTGCTGAACTCACTGCTTTTAAACATGGTCATATCGCTTTCTAATGATCATCGGAACATGTGACCATTTTTCGTTTGTTTGTTTAGTTGACAAATTACTGGCTGGGAAGGCTCACCTCGTCGAACAGCCGATAATCATAGCTGTTATCATCGTCGGCGAAGTACAAGACGCCAGGCAACGTGGCGTTCGCCTGCACCCATGCAATAGCCGTACGGCGTGCCGACACGCCACGACCTTTGACCCGCGTTCGCAGCTCCGGTGGACAGGGTCCCAGGAGATGGACGTGCGGGATGCCGCAGTCGCGAAGTAGACGGGACACCTGCGTTCACCAAGTCCACCATGTTTTTGAGTGACCGCTGTGAAGCTGCCCAGTGGATGAGGTGGCCAGGTTCCCCTCAAGCTGCTCAATGCAGCTTTTTTGCCTGGTCAGCCTCGCAACTTTGCTGTTGTGAATAAACAATTCAATTCAATTCAATTGAATTGAAGTCACGGGGGAATACAAGTTAGCAGACCGTTCATTAGCGTGATCGATGGTGGGCTCGAAGTAACGATAGACCTCTCGTCTCATATGCGTTTGGCATGTCGTTATAATTATTTCGGCATATCGTTATTATCATCGTGTGTTTTAATGTGCATGTAAGCATACATAAAGATCTCCTGTAGAGAAACAGCAGTTGAAGGCATGCCATAGTACATCGCACATCGCATATCCGGCACCATGTTACAGACAGTAGTCTAATTAATTTGGTTACAAGTATCTCAATAGATATATAACAAGGTGAACGTTGCATAAAACAGCAATACCTCAGAAAGAAAATGGGCCGCCAAGCGCCGTTAGAAAACGAGGCTGAAATGTCGTTCACTTCCTAAGAATATGCGACAACATTGACAGACTGCCGCAAAGACAGAAATTGCTGCGATTATTCGACTGTTATGCGACCTTAATAAATGGCTCTCTAAATAGTAGTTTTGCTTTGGCCTCATTTATACACTTCGATTAATGACTCAGGTGGAAAAATACCAAGTGACTTGTCCAGCAATACTGAGTCTTGTGATCATAATTGCACGAGAGCGATTGCATTGTATATATATCGGGAAGTGGGTTTACGCAATTTAAAAACGATGCTTCCGCATATAAATCAATTCAATGAAGCGCTTTTCTAAAAAAAACAAACACAGGAGGCTACGTAACACGTTTGTCTACAGAATAAGTTACTTATGAACAGATCATAAGCCTGCACGACACTTAGTTACAATACTTGCCTCTGTGTGATTTTGGCTCACCACTACTTGACTCGCACTTGCTCTAATTTGGAGTTTTTGTGCTATGTAGGCTCATATAGCTGTATGTTCGTTAACACTACTTCGTCGTAATTTTTAGAAGGGATAACGTGGCTGTCATTCTGACACAAACATAGCTAAAGCATTGACAGTGATGAGTTAGGAAAGATCAGGCCATTCGCTTCTTTATTTTTCAAAGTATGAATTTTGACACCTTTCTAAATGAAATGCTATTGAAGTTTAGTTTGAGACAGCAGTTTTTCCGTGGACAAAGCCATTTTACAACAAGCTTTGACCTACTTAAGTTCAGATTGTTAGTTTGTTGCCTGCAGAAGTTGCTTATGTTTAGCTGGGTCAATTTCTTAAGTTATGATTGTGAAACATCACGCACAAAAGACGAAGAACTAACATACAGAGACAAACGACAAACGTTAAAACGAAGTGCAATTACCACTTCTGCGGTGTCAGGCCTCCCTCTTTTGCGCTGTTATTTTCACGATCATGAATAACCAACTGGTCCGAGACAAGGCCATTGTGCCATTGTGAAGTTCTTAAACTACTGTATCCTATACCCTGTATCAAACACGAGGCAAAGCAAGTCTCCCGGTAATTGTAAGAGAAATAAATGTAGGAGCTTAACGAACGTACTGCCTCTGTGGGACGAGTGGAGTCTTCGACGAGAACCCAGAACACTTCAGTGGCAAGCATGAGAGCCTGGGCGACGCGTACCAGATCTGGTATCTGCGTCGGCCTTCGGTACGTGGGCGTGACCACGTACACTGTCGGTAGTGCAGGAGCTTCGTTTTCAGTAAACGTGTCTTGCGACGCAGTCGGCGTCCATTGTGGGCATCCCGCCGACACATCGAAGCTCGTCCCTCGTCGTCCACCACTGAAGTGCGTGATTTGAATGCCTGCGAAATTCCATCGCACAGTTTCATCGACTCGGCGGCGAAGGTCAGCAAAACTTGTGGAGCTCAAGCAGGCTCGCTCATAAAATATATCTTGCCCTTAGGCCTCAGTCGGATTCACACTCACCCAAGTTTTTTTTTTTTTTTGAGCCGGACCTACTCTGTCTCACAATCACGAAAATTTTCTTGAACCGGACTCACTCGGACTCAAGCTCGCCAAAACATTACTCACCCGAAATCACTCAGATTCGGACTCACCGCTCAACCTGAGTTTGAGTAAGCCGAGTGAGTCGACTCATGAGTCCGTCAGCCAAGAATTATGTTTTTCGACCGTGGTGTCAATGTCTCATAACATCATTATTTTACGTAATAAGCGCTCTTCTTGGCACCATTGGTAGAGTGCCTCTGAATAAGTTATACGAGTGTAGTTCACGCTTCTAATTAATAAATATTGAAATCCTGTATGAAAAACACTGCTTTGCAATACGTGTAAGTAGACGTGGTAAGTAAACGTAAGCAAACGTAAATCCAGGTAAGGCTGATGACAATGCTGAAGATGAGTAATTATGACCATAGGTCGGCAAAAAAGTTTAACTCACTCAGACTCACTTAAGAAATGCATCTTGCGCTTTGGACTTACTCGGACTTAAACTCGCGAAACGTTTTCCAAGCCAAACTCACTCGGACTCATACTCAGAAAGATTTTCTTCAACCGGACTCTCTCGGACTGAAATTCACGGTTCCATTCGAGTCTGAGTGTGTCAGAGTGAGTGGATTCATGAGCGAGTTGGCCGACCTATGCTTGGCGGTGACCTAAGTAAAGGCGGCGGTGCTGTCCTAACCAGAAAGCGGCACAAGCATGGGTCTAGAAGTGTGAAAACGTTACTGTTTATGCGTTTTACACATGGTGTTTGCTAAAAGATGATTGAATGAGAGAAAGATACAGAGACAATGAGAGCCAGTCAAGACGCTTTTCTCTTTACTCAGTTGGTAGAGCATCGAACGCGTTATTCTAAGAGAAAATGAGAGAGCACATTATCATGAAAAAGAATGAATAAAACCGCCTTCAGCATAGTTGGAACATATTCATCTTTTTTTAATGGAAAGAAGACCAGAAGAAGTGCAAATAAAACCATTAAGATGCACTACGCCGTTCACGAATGAAGGAATGATCGCTCCTGCTCCGCAGTGCACAGCAACTCCAGAGATGCTTGAGTAACCACGGAGGCAGTTTTTACAAAATATGCACGCAGTCGTTCCGTATTACAACGGCTATATAAATGTGCCCTTTGTAATTAGTGGTTCACTTTTCGCCAACAACTCCTTACACAACTCACATTGTGTGAAGGTCCGGGGCGGAACTGCTCTTCTGCCCCACAAAACTACATTCGTTTTTCACCTGACATGAAGCTTGTACAGGTTATTTTTTTTTTCAAAGTTCTACGCGCACGCGTTGTTCAATAGTAGAACCTTTGATTGCCATGACGGATGTGTCGATTGAGTACCTGTAATTATTTTACTTTAGCTGCGGCCGATTTCCGTGACGGACTCCGGTGGCGGCGGATGATAATATTAAGGAATTGGTTGTTGTTGTAATCTCATAACAGTTTATGCTCTAAGAATACAGGCAAAACCTACGCCATTGCTCGGAGAAGCTTTAACTGTAGTTGTAGACTGAAAGTTTGTTTGTTGACCACGTATTTAAACTTGATGTTTCTCGCTCATTCATTCGCTCATTTTCTTTCCCTCCCTCGTTCTCTTTCTCTATCTTATTTCATCACCAGATCTGTGCTTCAATCTTTTCCTACCTAAATGTAGTGTAGACAAAGATTACCGAGTTTATGTTTTTTGAGATGCTACACTTTTGAGGTCAAACACTATACTTTGTACAAAACATCGCCATAGACTAAGACGTCTACTTAACTTAAAAAAAGGTTAGGAGTTCAATAAAAAGCCAGGTGCGTAAAATACCATGAAACAAGGACACCAAGTGTACACTGACGATATAAACCGCTAGGCTGGTCCGCTTTATGTTCAGAATCAGGAGCACCACGTATATAACAATGTTAAGCTGATGAAGCCATCTCCACACACTCGTAGCGGTACACTAAAGTATGCGAGCTACTCTAAAATAAAAGTTTTTGCTCAAAGAAAGTACTCCCCGCTGATACGAGAAAGTGAAGTCGAGTCAAAATAACGTACCCGGGAAAATATGCTCAAGTCACAAGTTTTCGACTCTTAAAGAGTTCATACTCAGGTGTAGCAACAGTGCCACCACAAAAGTAGGTCTCAGCCTATACAGTCACCTCTTTCTAATCTTTATAGTTCTCTTTACTCAATACACAGAGCACAAGTCAGGGATACCACCAATTTTTTTTAAAGTTTCTTCTAACCGTACGTTCCCGTATCATTACGAGAACTTTTTCGCTTCTCTTTTGGGAAGCCCACTCCGTTCTCATTACAGTTCCTGGCGACTGAAAAGCATGCGGCGTGTATGCACGGGTGCAGTTCACTGTCTCTGTGCGAGACGTGACACGCGCATACGCTTCAACGCGTTTTATATCAACTTAAGCGCATGCTGCATGACATAGACGGCCAATATTGGAGCTCGAGGACGGAGCTACCTATAAAGGCACGCAACCATCAAAATCCCCGGCACGCTATACATATAGGTATACAGGATACATCGCTATCACTCTGGCTTTAAAGTATGTCCTTTATTGCCTTGATACATCGGAGCAACAGAAACTGTCCCGCTTTTTGCATTCATAGCGAAACCCTAAAATAACCTGCTATTTTCTTCAATCAAGACGCTTTTATATCATCCCTTTTTACAGACGGAAGCTCTGCAGTGAGGTCGTAGTCGGCTTTCGCTTAAAAACAAACACAAAAAACTCACAGTGGCTTTCAAGAGAACTTACATAAACTAGGTAAGAACAGGCTAAGATATGTTGGAGTGGCGTCAACACAACATAAAAAAAAGATTAGGGGTACCTAATTTAGGAGATTAACGTGATAGCGACATCCCGTTCATAGTGCGTACTTCAAACACTTAGTGCATGAAACTTTTTTGAGTTTGTCATGCACCCACCACGCAGTCTTAAGGGAATAGGCACATTAGTGCATGTGCCTTTTGTAGTGGGGTACCCGCTTTCAACCGCGGAGCCATTAGGATAATCTCATATTCTGGCGCCTATTGGCAATGAAAGCTTCTACCATGCAATATTACTGCAATATTTGATGTTGCATTGTGAAGCATATATACACAGGACGCGTGTGTTTGTGAAGCATGAAAGCTACTTTCGCTGCATTTTCAAACAGAGGAAGTTTATTTTTTACCACTGTTTTCACAAGCAGAGGCACACATTTAACGCGTGCGATGTGCGATTGTCAGACTAGCGTGACCTACAGTAAAGAAGGAAAAATAAAAAAGAAGCATGGCCGTGGGTTAGAAGATTCGCTCGCCGTGCAAACGACTCAGGTTCGATCCACACTCAAATCCAAATAACCCTGGTACGGTCCCCACTCTGCTCTAGGAATTTCTTATTCGATTATTTCATTTGCATCGTTGTCGATTTTTGGGTCATTCTTATGATGAAGATATTTCGCTCACCGCCAATGACGCCGACACTGGAATTCCCGCGAAGCAAGCTCTTTAACACTATCGCGTTAAAATGAAGGCGGTACTTCTTATGGAGGAATAGCGGCATTGTGCGTAAGCATTCATAGAAATTATGTCACTTAAGCAGCATATGGCAACATGATCCTGCGGCAGTATTTACTAGTTAATACTGCGAGACATTACTCGCAGTTTAAGCAGCACTATCTGAAAGTAACCATCAAGTAACTGACGTTACCCAATACTAACACACATCAGACTTAGTTTAGACCAACTTTAAGATAGTACTAGACACTGCTCATTGCTTGTGAGCAAATTCGCTAAGCCGAGACGTACGTCGCCTTTCACAGCTTCCCGCTGCCACCGACGCATTTATCACTAAGCTTAACGCGCTAGTTGTATATGGACAAATCGAAGTACGGTATTAGCCTAACAATACTCAAGTACCAAGTATTAAAAGTTTTCATAGCGTTAGTAACGTTTAACTTTCTGTTTAAGCTTCTTGAACAGCATTTCTTATGAATGCAAGATGTTGGCGTGGCGCTGGGCGTCAGGCCGCAGATGCTCAGAAAAATCACTAGTGCTCTAGCGGTTATACCAATCGTGGCACATCACTGGCATGACAAACGCCACCAGTGGTGTTCATCACACATCAACAGTGCATAAGAGGAAATAGCCAATAACTAACTGAATTAGCTAGCAAAATGCTTGCCCGCTCAATGTTAGAGACTACTATACGATGGCGATGCGCAAGGAGCATGTCATGCGGTATTTGTTTTATTTTTGTATTTGGCAGGCATCTGCAGCAAACAGGAAGACACCTGTACACAATAAACCAAAAGTTAGAAGCTTTCGAATCAAACCTATTTCAATACCAATCCGCAACGTCTCATTTGAATTTTCTTCACTGAATGACAAGATTTTAATTATAGTTGCCTAATTAAGCAATTAAGCATATCTAGAAATAGCATGACTGGCTCCATAATGTGGTCAGCAAGACGCATTCTGAACTGCGTAGGCAGATTTTCAAACTCTGGCTAAAATTTTCCGCTTATTTTTTCCTCCTCGTCCTCCTGGCTAAAATTGGCTGAGACAGCTTCCATACTAAAGTTTACACTATTTTGCTTCGTGTTATTCGTACCCACTAACCGCATAAGAAAATGATTGTTGCGCACGTGGCGGCCGCAATAAAGACTGGAATTCTTCCCCGCAGTAGTGGCGCCATCACAGAGTCGTTCCTGCAAAAGACAGCAAAACAAAAAGTGCTCAACCATACGCGTGTCAATGAGTTAGGGGTACACAGAGAGAAAAACAACATTATGGAAGAAGGTTGCCACGTTACTTGGAAAGGAGGAGGGGGGAGCCACGGGCAGATGTTATTGTGAAGCTCGTAAAACCAATGTATGGTGATTAATAATGTATACTTTCGAAATATAGTGGGGCCTTTGTGTTTTGCACATTACCAAAGAAACACATTGGGGAATGCTTGGGCCCGTGAAGCAGACTTGTGACACGCTTCTTAACATATTTATAACCATACCTACAGCTGAAAAAGCTGCAGTTTGATGGTTATAAACTATAAAGCCGAGTACCTTAGCCACTGATACACCGTGGCGGATGCCCGTATATACACAATTGTTGATATTTGAGAGGGAAATGTATGCTATGAGAAATCGTACAAATTTAATGAACTAACTAAATGAATTTCATCCTTGCTTGGTGAGCAGACGACAGAAATTCAGGGAAGCATCATAAGCTGTCTCATAAAGGAACACTAAAAGTAAAAAAAAAGATTTTTCTAGAATTAGTAAACCCAAATCACGCGATATCGAAAGCAACACGCTTAGTTCGAGAATAGGCTTTGTAAGCGTGAAATCACACAAAGAAAAAATGGAAATAGTCATGCCACCTTGAAGTTCCAGAAATATTGGACGGCACCTGCTAAAGCCTATGTAGTCAGGACTTGTGCATTTTAGCAATCGCAGCGGAACAAACTTTAAAGAAAGAGACACGTAAACAGGACGGGCGCGGGACAGTCGATGCTCGTCCTGTTTACGTCTCTTTCATTAGTGATTGTCCCGATGCTTTTGCTAAGATGCACAAGTTGTACACCCATCAACAAACAAACTTTTGCGTTGAACAGTGTACGTAATCATTTTTTTGTAAAACTTTTCTTGCGTTGCGTTCTATAAGGGACTCAAAAGCTTACCATGACGAGTATAAGAAACGTTCATTGTACTAATGCGCCTAATGTACGCAAGAAGATCTACTTTTGTGCAGTCACACTTACGTTCAAGATTGGATTTCTTGGCACTAACTTTAAGAAGAAAACTCTGACCGCTATTTGTTTCTCTAATAATAATTTTCTCATGGCTCAATTATTGAATCTAGAGTTCTGAAAGCATAATCTACCCGACTAAATTGATTTAACGGTGTACTTTTGTATTCAGAGGGACAGTAGAGAATTGTTATTTTTTTACATCAGTACAGTATTCTTATGCAATTTTAACATCATCGAGCTTGCATCGAGGAGATAATAAGTAAGCGAGAAAACGCGTGAAAAAGAAACTGTATAGATGACGACACCACCTTGAAATGCCTCCCGAAAATGTCATGACGGCATATGCTTTAACGGCGCATAGAAGGACCTGCGTGGCTCATGATCGGTAAAACAAAAGTTATATTGTTCTTCGATTGAGCAAGAAACTTGACACACCAAGTTGAGAAAATATTGCTATATTACAAAAAATGTGATTTAATGTCCGTGATGTCAAACGCGAACATTTCGCGTGGAATTCAAAAACTAAATTTCGACCTTGATTGTGTCATCTACTAATAAACATATGATGATAAAACGACATCAGTGTTCTAAAAATACGATTTAGCAAGCGAAACGGTTGCGTTGTTTTTCTTCAGTGTCCCTTCAGGATTTGACGTGGGAAAGAACGTGAGGTATTTTTGTGGTTATCGTTTTTACCTGTTAGCTCAACAAGTGGTTTGAATACCATATGCGTCAGACCGGCTGATATATAGAAACTGCCAGCCCACACTCTGCTGAGCTCTACGGTCGGCAATGGCGTATGCACACTGCGTCCCAGCATATAGAAGCCAGCCTGCAAGGAGAGACATGTTCCCAAGTAGAAAATAGGCGCGCGCAAAGTCTCTTAATATCCGCATAGAGAGATGAATCCTTGCTAGACAAGGGACAACCCAGAGCATGCTACTGCAGCGAAGTTCACTGAAAAAGGTCGAAGAAAGGGATTCGGCTTGTCAGAGATCGAAGCTTCCACCAATGAGAATGGATGCTTTGTTGTCCGGCGACCGTAACTTCCAGCAAACAGAGCGGGAAGGGAACGCATCACACGAATCCTCCTGGTCTTATTGTGCAATAAAATCGCGCAAATCCAGACGCACGCAGTCGTACGATATCTCGTTTGTAACTCAAAATGAGCGACAGTGTCTAACGTGGTCGTTCCGTCTCGGTCACGCATCAAGAAACTCAATTGTAACTGGAAGCTGGGGCATTGCAGGAGAGGGTCAGTCAGACAAGCAGCGCTGTCTTTTCGCACCAAAGTTTGTGTATGGCAGTTGCCTACTAAATAGGCTATAGTATCTTCCAGATCTACACCTTCCCTCTGTACACATTGCTTCTCCTCCTCCTCCTTGTATTCGTTTTTTTTTCGCACGCTTACTTTTCTCCTCACTTCTGCTTTTTCTCCCCCTCCCCTAAATGCAGGGTAGCAAGCTGGATGTTACAACTTTGGTTGATCTCCCTGCCTTTCTCTCATTTTTTTTCACTCTGTGCCTCTCTACAGACAAGCCTGAGTAAATGAAAAGAAGGAACCCCCCACATATTGTTGCATTAATATTCTTTGCACGTGATACGCGATTTAATTTTGCACTTTCTTATTTTTACCTTGAACAATACATAGGAAGTTAGAACGGTTCAATTGGGTGTTGTTCAAACCAAGCCCAAACTTTCTCAATGTGATTCATAGCGCAACTTCGTTGTTTTATAAGATAGTTAATTTATCTAGCCTAATTAAAAATTATTAATCTAATCTTCTCACCTAATTTTATGTCTCATCCTCACGCGTTTGAATTTTCTGGGAATAGATTAATTTACCATTATTAATAAAGAAGTTTGAAGTATAACATGGCAGAACATAACGTGGTATTACATGGGAGATGCTTTTGCCCTGTGGTGGTAGTGGTCAGTATGATGATGATGATGGTTATGAACTAAGGAATTAAAAAGAACGTAACATTCAGAGTGACCACGTCGTCCTAAACTGCACATGCGTACTTCAAACTCTCGATAGAGTTGCCTATCACACCATGCGTGTTCTACTGTTAGGCTCTCCTTGATACATTTGAATGGTGTTTGCTTGCCCATATTAAAATGAACATTTAGTTTCCCTGACCTACAGATAAGCCACGAGCTTTTTTTTCAACTACAGACACCTGAAGACAACAGCATTTTGGTATGTTGAATGATGGAGAAAAAGAAAGGCACGTTTTGTCAGATACGTTCCTGAAGTCCTTAAATAGTACGAAGGCCAGCGTAGAACAAAACAAACGCAGAAGACATGAACCACACAACATCAATGCATATTTGGGGTTGTACACTGCTTTTTCTCTCTTACTTTGTTTTTGCTGGGGCGATGCTTTTTTTGAACTCGACATGAGCAGGCAATAACTTTGACTTGTGCAGATATGTCTAATATTTATATAAGAAATGACGCACACACCCAGGCATCATGCTTCAATATAGGAAATAATGTTGTAAAAAGTGTATGTGTGGCTCGAAGCACCACATGGTATAAGAAACCTGAAACAATAATACGTATAATGTTTGGTACGTGTGACAGTAATAGCGGTATGATTAACATAATATATTGCATGACATGTGTTACCTAAGGTGTATAAGAGAAAGCGCGTTCATACGTGCCTATGGTGAATGTCACGAGGGCTCCCGCCAAAATACTGTAAAGCGTCTTCATTTCGGAGAAGCCGGTATACCAATGGAGTTTTTTCATAAAAAAACGACGGGTTGTGTTTTTATGTTTTTTAGAGAGGTCACGTGGGTGACTATGCTCTCATAGACACGCAATAAAGTAGTGTGTGTTGCAGTATAATATAGATTACACGTCGCTTCTCAGAAGCAGCGTAGCTACTTCTTAGTAAAGGCATGGTGCTGCGCATTTGTGCAGCCCACGTGTTTCCGCACATCATGACTGGTATCGTTTCATCTTCACAAAACAGGGAATACAAGTCATGTTAAGCACAGCCTTTTCACGCCTTCTGAAACCATCTGTCCTCGCCACGTGTGACACATTCTAGCGGCTCGTAATATGGGGGCCGTGGTGTTACCAGAAATTTAGAATGGTTTCTGAACTTAATTGCATTTCATTGCATCCTACAACATAGGATATTATAAATACTGTATACACTGTATGAAAAATTGCTGTATTAGTTGAATTATTAAATAATAGATTAGCCAGACGAGCACAATAAATACTCACTGGGTCGCTTACCTATGGCACCTCGAACGCGAAAGCCTTCTTTTTTTCTGCCTTACTGATGTTTTGATTCTGTCCCGCTACCCTCCGAAAGCTTTACTGTTGTTTTGCATTGCCCCGAGATCAGTGCGCCTTTTACCAAGCTGCGATGTCATACATGTGACTTTGCATCACGATGCCGTCACCAATACTTGGCAGTCTGTGACGTCATTGTGACGACGTATGATGACTTCATCCTTATTTTTCACTTCACTTCCGATGTCGCGGGACGCTGCTGCTAGGCAGTAAAATTCCATCCTTGATGAGGCATCTAACGCATTCGCTTTAAAAGTCACATAGTTCACCTTTAACGTCATGTATGTGTGAATATGGAGAAATTTGCAAAGAAAAAATAGCGCTATGCATTCTCGTGAGTAGGCGGCAGTGTAGACGACCTTCAAAGAGTTAGGCGCTAATTCATAGCGCCGCAAGGGAATGCGAACGGCTATTAGTAACATTATCTCATTATGGCGTTACGTTTCCCATCAGCTGGTAGAAGCACTCAGTAAGCGTAGTCACTTAAATAGCCTCTTTGGAATTAACTAGTGATCACCACGACTGCTACTAATATATATGCCACTTTAGTCTACAGCGTCACTGATACGAGTCTTCTTCTTTTATAGCCAGCGCACATTACTCGCTGAAGCTTCCGTTCTGTAATAGT